GTGTGTGTGTGTGTGTGTAAAATAGTTTTACAATTTAAAATATATCTAATAATTATAATATTAACTACATAAATATATAAAACGACTCGTTTAAAAGTACAAATAACGTTTAATATGTTCTGGACTTCTAATTGAATGGCTCAATATAAGAATGAGATCAGTCAGTAATTTAAAATGCTCACTTTAAATACAACTTCACATTTAAAGTGAACGTTACGGACTATGGGTGCTTCCAATTATGAGCGAATTTTTGCTTTAAACCCATCAATTTCTTAATGACTCCTTAAGCACAGTATTATATGAAAAGCGATTAAGCGCAGCGATAATCAATCTCTGTCTGCAATTAACCAATCATCACTTTGTCACTGATGAATAATGCATGTAAGTATCGCATGTAAGTCGTATTACGTATTTCCGAGTGGAATCATCTAACAATAAGTTATCTAACAAAGACACTCTCTATAATCGTCTAATTTATCTTTATAAATTATAATGAATTATATTTGTGTATATTATATGTGTATATTTAATGTGTATTTTTTTTAAACTATTACCGCTAAGAAAGTTTTGAGATTTTCAAACAGTAATATTCTATCTTGAATATTTTTCAAACCGTGAAGAAGCAAATACCGACTACGACTAAGGGTATCAACTTCGATTACGTATACACGCAAGATATGATCTTGAAGATGGCATGGGACAAGAAAGAACTTTCTGGAAAATCTCAAACTTTCTTAGATTTTTAAATGAGAAAAAATAAGAAGCGGAATGTAATGAATATACAATAACAAAATGACCATAAAAATTGTTCGATTAAACCGGTGATGCATATAGATAGAAAATGTGATGGAACGATACGATCTTTTTATATTATTTGTACACACAGCTACAAAAGTTTGCACTTTTTTCAGAAATAAAGAAGATAGATTATGCATTTGCTTCCGGCTCTTTCCCGTTCCTGTCCCGATCAAGAGCACAAGAGATGTTGAATAGATCGTTCGACGGTAGGCGCTATCGAAGGAAAGCGCGAGATATCCACGAGGAGTGATGTATCAATAAGTGCACGAGAAGCGTCCTGTCCATGTATTGAGCTTAACTGTCCCTAAGCACTTGTCTGGAAATCAGTAATCCTTCGAACTCCGCTTTACCGCTAAATCACCATGCAACTGAATAAACCCAGACATAAATGCATATATCCATATACTTAAACACACATACACACACAGGGAGACACACACACACATACATTATATATGTACAATAAACGTTTGGAAAGTTTACTAGTTGCATCATCGCTCATGCTGAAGACTGATTCCATAATAACGTGATAATTATGTATATATTTACGTAATTTTTTGCGAAGAAACTGATTCTCTTGACTGAGATGATCGTGTGCGGGATTCTTTTGTTCGCGATTTCCTTCCGAAAGACGAAAAGGCAGCGAGGAGAAGGCAAAACTTAAGAAAATGAAAGCAATGCAGTCTTAAAAAAATGAGATATAAAAACATCAGAAATCTTATGCTCTTTAAATTAATCGTCATAATATTGTTTAATATTAATTATAATAATATTTAAATAAGTATTATTATATTTCTCGAAAATTAAAAATGACTTTTTTGTGAGAATACTTTTATATACTGTAATAATGTGACAATCTATTATGTAGATAAATTGTTATAAAATAATAATTAATAGATATTAATTATTATAAAATAATTATTAATATAAATATGGAATAATATAAAATAATTTAAAAATAAAATCTATTTAATGTAAGTTTTTCGATGTAAGTTTTTTCGGTATTCAACTCTCAATATTTATTTAAATATTTTACAAATTCGAATATGTTTTCAACAATTCTTTCTTCTCTTACTCTGCCTTTTCTATCATCATAAAGTAATTGAAATTTTTGAAATTTCGGACAATGTATTAGCATTATAAATGTGGAAAACAACATTTTAATCAAAATTGTTTTACTTGAATTATTAATTATTTAATAAATTGATGGTATAATAATTTGAACCACACAAGTATTGTTACAAATTTCATTTTCTTTCTGTCAATATAATCCTTTCGTTATAAATGTGTGCAGTTATCAAGAGCTCTGGATTACGATTTCTAAATAAGCTATAATACACAATCGAGAATGTGAGAAAGGAAAGATTAACGATTTCTCGAAAACACATCGAATTAGTTCAGTAATATCTCAGTAATATTTCTTTCGTTATTGCCAGTAATATTAAACTACAATTCATCTCTCTACTTCATAAATATAATATAAATATAACAAATATAAAAATAAATAAATATATATATATAAATATAAATATACATAAATTTATATATATATACATATATATATATATATATATATATATATATATAAAGTCTGATCGGGAAATAAGTCATGTTATATAAAAAATTTTAGAAGATTTTTTTTATGGGTTCGATGTACTAACTAATGACATTCATAATAAAATAATCGTCACTTCATGACTGAAAAATGACGTAAAAATAATGTTATATCAAGACGTCAATACAAAGTCATGTAACAATAATCAGTCATTTTGACGACATATGACCAAAAATGACTAATTTGGAACGTCAAAATGACGTGTTCTTGCTACTTGGGAAGTAATCCCTCGCATAAAAAAAATTGGTACACGAAATAAAACTCATCCTATATACAGTCTCCTGCACTATCACACTATCTAGTACACATTAATAACAGACTTCTAAAGTTATTTAGAGACGATTTTTCTTAATTGAAAATGTCGAAGGTTTGTAACTGAATCTAAAATTAAAATTTTATTAAAGTGAACTTCACCTGGATTTAATTAAAGAATGTAGCTTTGTTAATATATTTTAACTTTACGAAGTTTGCAAAAAGTATATTAAGTAGAGAAGATCGTCATATTTTAATGAAATGACGGGGCTGGTAGCGGATTCTTTACTTATTTATTTGGATATTTAACATATTCTCCAAAATTACTTTTTTAAAAAGTAAAAAAAGGTTAATCATGTGTCAGTATTAAATTGTAAAAAATTTTATATTATTGTAAAAAACTGTTATATGCACAAGACATAGTATTATTTAAACTACAAAAATATTACNTATTTTATACAAATTATTTAAATACTGTTATTAATATGTATTTTTTAAATACCGTTATTTAATATGTATTTTTTAAATACTGTTATATACTGATAAATCTATTCTGTAATCTATTAAAAATCATATAAATGCGATAGTTTTTTCTTTTAAAACGCATGCAATATTTATAATAAGGCATTTTTTGGACAGCGATTATTTATCGATGTCATTACGTAGCCTTCGATTACGAGTTTAAAAATGAAGCTATCTGGAACAATAATAAATTGCCCGTTAAAAATTATTCAATTAAACCGGATATTATGCATATAAATAGAAAAAGTGTTTGAACGATACGATCTTTTTATATTACTTCTACACACTGCTACAAAAGTTTGCATTTATTTTCAGAAAAGACGATGGCCAATTATCAGTTTGATTCCGACTCTTCCCCGTCCCCAGTAACAGCACAGGAGACGTCGAATGGAACGTTCGATGATAGGAATAATCGACGAAAACCGGAAGACATCTATGAGGAATGCTGTCGCAATTCGTGCACGTTAAGCGACCTGTCCATGTATTGCGCTTAACTGTAGTCCTTAAGCACTTGTCCGGAAATCAGTAATTCTTCGGACTCCGCTTTACCACTCGATCATCATGCAGCCGAATCATAAGCCCAGCCATATGTGCATATATCCATATACTCATACACACATACACACATCACACACACACACCACACACACACACACACACACACACACACACACACACATACACACACACACACACACACACACACACACATTACATATGTACAATATACGTTTGGAAAGTTTACTAGTTGCATCATGACTCATGCTAGGGACTAATTTCATAATAACGTTATAATTATGTATTATATTTACGTAATTTTTTGCGAAGAAACTAATTCTCTTGACGTATGATCGTATGCGTGATTCTTTTGTTCGCGATCTCCTTTCGAAAGACGAAAAGGCAGCGAAGAGAAGGCAAAACTTAAGAAAATGAAAGAAATGTAATCTTAAAAAAATGAGATATAAAAACATCAGAATTCTTATGCTCTTCAAATTAATCGTTATAATATTGTTTAATATTAATTATAATAATATTTAAATAAGTATTATTATATTTCTTGAAAATTAAAAATGACTTTTTTGTGAGAATACTTTTATATACTGTAATAATGTGACAATCTATTATGTAGATAAAATAATAATTAATAGATATTAATTATTATAAAATAATAATTAATATAAATATTGATTAATATAAAATAATTTAAAAATAAAATCTATTTAATCCGATTTAAGTTTTTTTCGATTTTTAACTCTCGATATTTATTTAAATAACAAAAATTGTTCAAAACATATTCGAATTTGTAAAATATTTATTTAAATATTTTACAAATTCGAATATGTTTTGAACAATTCTTTCTTCTCTTACTCTGCCTTTTATATCATCATAAATCAATTAAAATTTTTTGAAATTTCGGACAATGTATTAGCATTATACGCGGAAAGCAACATTTTAATAAAAATTGTTTTACTTGAATTGTTAATAATTAATAAATTGATGGTATAATAACTTGAACCACACAAGTATTGTTACAAATTTCATTTTTTTCTGTATAAATGTAATCCTTTCGTTATAAATGTGTCCAGTTATCAAGAGCTCTGGATTACGATTTCTAAGTAAACTATAATATATATATATATATATATATATATATATATATATATATATATACATATGGATTAATATTATCTATTGGATGTCCACATTAGTAGTGAGAATCTATTTTATAAATCATATCTGTGAGAGTGTTAGAATTAAGGTAAAAGAATATATATATATATATATATATATATATATATATATATATATATATTCATTTATCTTTCTGCACTAACATCACGAATAAAGCATAACACATTGTTGATATACTTGCAAAGTAGGATAACATTTCGAAAGTTATTTGCATTCCAAATATCGAATTCAACTCACGAGCAATGCGACATAATTCTAAATGAAGATGCCTATCAAAAGACATGTATTTTGTTATTATAGAAAATCATATTTTTTATTCGTATAAAGTGTAGTTATACATTGAAAGAATTCATATAAATTTCATTTTCTTAATTAATTATTTTCGGAAATACTAAGTTCTACAAAATTTTATTATTAGATGAATATCGAAATGATAATTTTTTCGAACATGTGCATATATCGATTTACATTAAGATCCACAACACTGTCTTGTAATTGTAAGTACATAAAGTATATCGATGTAGACCAACAATAGGTTTTCTCCTTTCCACTTAAATATTATACATTGGAAGCCGTATTCTTCTCTCATCAATAGACATTTCATATGCTTGTTTATTTCGTCAAATCTATTATCGATATACCTGTATTACAATGTTTTACAAATTATAAAATACATTATTCTGATATGTTATCTCCAGAACATATTTGTGATGTATTAATGTACATTAATATGATATACTTTAAATATATATTATATAATATTTTATTTAATTAAATATAAATGGAATAATATTTAAAATATTTAAAGAAAAAATATAAAATACTTGTAATGTCTATAATTTATAAATTAATATAAAAATTGCAAAAGAATCTATAAAAATATGTCTAAAATAAAATATAAAAATATATATAAAAATATATATAAAAATTTAAAATATATACAACTATTTGTGTGTGCTATTTATATATATATATGAACATATATACATAGATGCACACACACACACCACACACACACACACACACACACACACACACACACACACACACACACACACACACGCACACACGCACACACGCACACACGCACACACGCACACACGCACACACGCACACACGCACACACGCACACACACGCACGCACGCACACGCACACGCACACGCACACACACACACACATATGTATATATATGTGTATACATACATACAAATATATTAAATATTATACAAACCATAAGATAAAAATAAATAATAAGTTCATAAATGCATTTATATGGCTGCAATAGTTTAATATAGCTGTCAAAAATCCCCAAGCGGATTTTGTTATAGGTATACTCAGCCACCATAGTGTATCATAAAAGTTTATAGTCAGAATGTACATAATCCATCCAATGGCTTGTTTCGATCTCTTATATATTTTTTATGCATTTCTGGAGTGTGCCTAATTTCTCCAAAGTGTCATCCGCAGCAAGCTTTTTCAAACATGTTCCAAATCTCTAAAAAATAAACATAAACACATAATTTAATACGATCCATGACACAATTTTTCTCTTTCTCTTTCTTTTTTTCTTTCTCTTCTTCATATAAAGTATAATTACATACATTTTAATAGTTTTAATTGCATGTTTAATAATAAATCATCTTTTTAACAGAGCGGATCGATTATATGTGTAGGTGCTGAAAAGAACATGTATTATAATGATGAAAAAATTAATAACATTTTAAATTGTTATAATTGCAACGCGTATGAATACATAAATGAGTTTTATTAAATTGACAGTGTTATTTTTGCAATAACAATGACGACCACGATCCAACAGGAAGTACGACATCTTTTCATTATGTGTTATTGCCGGTTTAGGTGTCTATCCTTTAAAAACATCTAGACCGAAGATTAAGTGGATTACATATTTAAGTATTCTGTATTCTTTAACAATATGGTTTATTTATTGGTATGTTTTATACTGTGGAATGAGTTCTTATTCACTGATATAAAATTTTGAAATAATATTATAATAATTAATATGGGATTTAATATGATAATCACAAATATATCTACTATTCTTAATATATGTATATCATGATAAGATATATATTTATGTATATTTTTATTTAATCGTGTTCTATATAATTATGTACACATATTTAAATTTATATTAATTATAATATTATAGTATGGTAAAATTATTATGTTCCCATAATTTCGTTTACGTTCCCGTCTATTATTTTAGAAATTTCTTTTGTTTTTAACAGTATTGTGCTATTATTTATACATAATCCTTATGCAGGAACAAAAAGAAATACAAGTACACTCCTGGCTTTGTCTCATTGTCAGTGGATAAGTCTTTCTATTTTTAGTGAAGTTATGCGCTGTAAATTATATCTGTGAGAATGTAACAATTAAGGTAAAACAATGCGCAACTCTTAATAAAAATATATATTTGATGTAATAAATTCTATTCAAATTTCAGGTTAATGAAATTGACAAAACAACTCATCAACTTACAAATTCTATTCGATATGCAGATATTTGGAAGGAGATAAAAAATAATGATATAGCAACAAGTAAATGTAGTAAATGAAATTGTTTAAGTAAAATAAGATTTCTTCTGTACAGATATCTCAATTTACTTTGCAAATAATGCTTCATTTATTGAAATTTAATGGAATGAGTGTCTTCTACTTTGGCAACGACTTTCTTCGAAAAGTTTATCTTTGCATTTATCTCTTTTCATTTCATTTTTTGTTTTTTATCATTTATAATAATTGAATGAAATTTTTCTTTCTCAATAATTTTTCATCAAAACTTGTTTCTACTGTTTCTCATTATCATGAAATATAATAATTTCTTCGGTTATTAACGTATTTTATTGATATTTCCAATGAAATGCTATTCTCACATTTAATAAAAGTTAATTAATTAAAGTTTTTTCCAGTTTTGCATGACGATCATATAACTCCTGATTATTATAGTGCAATTAAAGATAATTATTAATTTTAATTGACTTATAATTAACCAACACTTTATCGAATCTAACATTGCAAGAATACATTAAGATTATTTATGGATTATACTAATATAATATTATAATTAAACAATAGTATAAAATTATAAGGATGGCATTATGAGATCGTTTGTTATCGACATTAATATTATCTGATGATATTGATCGACTATGTCATTCTGCATTTATGAAGAATTAAATGATGATTTGACATTTTTACTGTGCATTATTCTATCTCTTTAATGAATGATTTCAATCAAATGAGTTTGAATAGATAGTCCATGTTAGTTCGCGGCAGAAATCGTGAGAGTGACGACTATCTATGTCAAATATAATAGAAAAGGCTATATATCCTATACTTCTAACAGCTTCAGTTCTCGGTTTATGTGTCTATTTTCCAAAGAAACTTTATTTACGTATTTTTTTATAATATAACAATATGGATTACTTATGGATGTTTTTATTATTATATAGTGACAATATTTAAGATAGAGGTATGGTTTCAATCAACTTCTATTATAATTTATATGCAGATTGGCATTCTTGCTACATCTATTGTTACAAATGTATATCAAAATAAGGTAAATATGTATATTTTTAATTTGTAGAATAAATAAAATATAATACTTTATGTAATAAAAATATTATCTTTTAAAGGATGATTATGATATTTTCCTAATTTTATAATTTAAAATTTATAATTTATTATTTAATACATTAATATTATTCATATAATACAATCTTAACGCTATATATAATAAATTAATACTATTTATTATAATATTTAATTGAATTGTATTCTTTAATATTGTTTAGAGATTTCGAATATTTATGGAAAGACTTGCTGCTGTGACGAAACGTTAAAAGAGTTAAGCACTCCCAAGATATATCGACAACTACATGCATATGTGAAAAGAATATTAATAGGATGGTTCATATTTACTTATATAGGAAATACATGTGATAGCATTTGGTGGTTTTACCAAGTAAAGGATCTTCGATACATGATTGTACCTTACATTATAAATCATTTTAAACACGTCAACATATTTGAAGATATATTATTCGTGACTTTTCTGTGGTTTGTATAATGTTACACCAGTATACCTAAATATAATAATTCATTTGGTAATAAATCTACTTATTTATTGTTTTAATACATGTATTTTATAAAATATATATTTATAAAGTTATTACTCTAAAAAGGAATACACTAAAGAAGATAATAAATAATTTTTTAGAGAAGAATCTAATATTTTCAATAAAAATGTCTCGAGAAAAAAGAGAAATGTATTTCATATTCATTTTGCAGAAACTAAACTTGACTAAAACATTTCATCGTAGATTATTTTCATTTCAAGTAATTATGTATATAGTTAATTTTTTAGTATATTTTAATATTTTTTTAGTATATTTTATTATACAATTAAAATCGTCCTTTGTAATAGGTATATTGGTACTAGATTTGACAAGGTAAATGAACACATAAAATATCTATTGATTAAAAAAGAGTATGGATTGAGATATACATGGAAAAAATCTGCGCTGACCACTCAAGGATGTATCATGTACACTAATAAATACAAGTGCATATTGTGGACTTCAATGTAAATAAAGATAATAAAATATATATGTTCGATAGACATTGATTTAAATATAACCTATTAAAATAAATAATGCATATATATAGAAAAAATTGCATTTATGCAAACAATAAAGAAATGATTTTTCTACACACATCGCGTTTATCTTTTCGTTCTTTCATTAATAAATTTTATTCTTTTATAGGCATGTCCATCTGGAATTATGTCAAATCGCTCGTGAATTAAATATAATATTCGGTCCCCAATTGACTATAAAAATAATACTCTATTTGGTAAATATAACAAGATTATGTTATTATGTTATTATGCACGTACAAACGAAGAGTCACATTATACTTGCACCGCTTTCCTGGTTGTCTGTGTTTTTTTGGATAGGTTTGCACATAGCCAAACTCTTCTGCTTAAATTATGTCTGCGAGAACGTCAGTGCTAAGGTAAATTCTCGCAACTTTCTCAATCCTGTAAATATATATATATATATATATATACAGGGTGACCCATTTTAACTTAGGCAGCCAAATAATTCGAAAAATAAGCACACTACGAAAAAATGGTTAGAATCAAAATTTCGTCATTTCGAGGGGGACGTACAATGACGTTAAAATCAGCCCCCCACCCCTCCCCCTGGGCGGTGAGGGGGGGCAAGTTTGAAATCTTAAATGGAACCCCCTATTTTTCATTGCATATTCTTGTAGCTTATCTCGAGAGCTTTCCAAAACACTATAATTAAGTACCTTTTTATTAAGTACTTTTTGAGTTATAAGGCTTGAAATAATTTCTTAATTTTACATAAACCATAAAATATCTAGTAAACCATTCATTTTTCGATTATCTTACCTTCATACTTTTATGTACAAAATAATGAGAGGAATCAATTGGTGTAAAGAAAACATACAGTTGTTTTTAAGAAAAAATATGGAATTGTTAATTGCAAATTACATATTTTTTCTTAGAAACAACTATGTGTTTTCTTTACACCAATTGATTCCTCTCATTATTTTGTACATAACTGAAGGTAAGATAATCGAAAAATGAATGGTTTACTAGATATTTTATGGTTTATGTAAAATTAAGAAATTATTTTAAGCCTTATAACTCAAAAAGTACTTAATAAAAAGGTATTTAATTATAGTGTTTTGGAAAGCTCTCGAGATAAGCTACAAGAATATGCAATGAAAAATAGGGGGTCCCATTTAAGATTTCAAACTTGCCCCCTCTCGCCGCCCAGGGGGAGGGGGAGGGCTGATTTTAACGTCATTGTACGTCCTCCTCGAAATGACGAAATTTTGATTCTAACCATTTTTTCGTAGTGTGCTTATTTTTCGAGTTATTTGGCTGCCTAAGTTAAAATGGGTCACCCTGTATATATATACTTAAATATATATATATATATATATATATATATATATACAGGGTCTACCAAAAGTGTGGAAACCCCTAAATATCTCGGAAAATATACGTTTTACAGAAAAGTGTTTCCAACAAAAGTTGTAGGGTTTAAGAAGATCTATATACTGATTCTATCAGTTTGACCTTGGATGGCGTCGTCAAGGTCAGGTCAAGGTCACATTGACTTTTTTAAATGACACCCCCTACATTTGATTGCATATTCTTATAGCTTAATTCAAGAGCTTTCCAAAACACTATAATAATGTTCATTTTTATTAAGTACTTTGCGAGTTATGAGGGTTGAATGATAGAGTAGCGCCGGTATTAACATTATCCAAGGTGTACTACATGGAGGTTACTCGCTCGGATTTGCATCTGTTGTG